CCTCATACGGCTTGCCGTGCAAGTCTTTGATCATATGGCTGGCCCTTTTCTGGACTCTCTCAAGCTTTACCATGTCCTTGTTAAAGTGAGGCGCCCAGAGCTGGATGCAGTACTGCAGCTGCGGTTTCATGAATGCCAAATAGAATGGGAGAATCACTTCTTTGGTTTTGCTGGAGATGCATTGATTGATGCATGCCAGAATACTGTTAGTTCAGTTGGCTACAACATCGCACTGCTGCCTCATGTTTCATACTGTGGTCTGTTATTAGCCCCAGATCCCTTTCATTTGTAGTGCTGGTCAGGTTGGCATTGCCAAGCCTGTAGGTGTGCAGGGGCTTGTTCATCCCTAGGTGGAGCACTTTATACTTCTCGATGTTGAACTTCATCTGGTTCTGGTTCCCCCAACTTGCTAGCCTGTCTAGGTCCACTTGTATCTGCAGCCTATCTTGAAGTGTGACCACATTTCCCCATAACTTGGTGTTGTCTGTGCACTTGGCCAGTGAACTCTTAACCCCCACATCCAAATCATTGATGAAGATGAATAGCACTGGACCAAGCACTGAGCCCTGTGGGACACCACTGGTCACTTCCCACCAAGATGACATAAATCTGTTAATTCGAACTCTCTGGGTCCTACCCTGCAGGCAGCTTTCTACCCACTTGTCTCGTGGTTAAGCCCACAGTCTTCCAATTTTCTTGCAAGAACATCATGGGATATCAGATCGAAAGCTTTTTGCAAGTCAAGGTATACAATGTCAACCCCTTCTCCCTTATCCAGGTGGTGAGTTACCTGATTGTAAAAGGAGATGAGGTTGGTACGACAAGACCTGCCCGTGACAGCCATGCTGGCTGTCATTCAGAATCCTACCTTTTGCAAGCCTATCACATATAGACTACTTGATGAATTTTTCCCGGATTTTCCTTGGGATAGAAGTTAGGCTAACTGGTCTATAGTTAATCAGGTCCTCCCTCCTCCCCTTCTTGAAAATGAGCATAACACTGGCCCTCTTCCAGTCCTCGGGGACCTCCCTGGAGCGCCATGAGTTTTGGAAGAGATTCTCTAGGGGTTCCATTACTACTTCGGCCAGCTCCTTCAGCACTCTTAGATGAAGTTCATCTGGTCCTGTTGACTTATATATGTCCAATTTCTTTAACTGATCACACACCAGTTCTATGGCAATAGTAGGTAGGCAGTCATTTGGACCCTGCTCATTCTGTAACCTAGCTGGCATGATTTTCCCCTTGGGCCAGTGAAAGACTGAAGCAAAGTAGGCATTCAGGAGTCCATTTTTTTCCTGAGTGCTGGTAACTAGCTGTCCTGAGTTGTTGAGCAATGGCTCCACACCCCCACTTGTGCTCCTCTTGTTCCCTATGTACCTAAAGAAGGACTTCTTGTTGTCATTGATTCCCATTGCTAATTTTAGTTCAGTAGCTACCTTAGCTTTTCTAATCTGATCCCTACAAGTGCTGGCCATTGCTATATAGTCCTCACTGGGGGCTGTCCCAAGCATCCATTGTCCGTATGTCTCTTTCTTCTTTCTTAATAGGACCGTGATTTCCCTGTTTAGCTAAGATGACTTCCCAGCCCTTTTGCTACATTTCCTCTGCATGGGAATGGACTTCCTTTGTGCTTCAAGAATCGTGTCCTTTAGGAACGACCATCTTCATGTACTCCTTTCACCTTCAGTGCCTGGTCCCACAGCACATTGTCTACTAGTGACCTGAGCTTGTTGAAGTTTGCATTTTTGAAGTCCAAAACTTCAAGCCTGCTATCTGATTTCTCTGCCTTGTGACCGACCATGAATGTAATGGTTTCATGGTCGCTATTGCCCAGGCTGCCCTCTGTGTTAAAGTTGGTCACCAGGTCCTCTTCTTTGGCCAGGACCAAGTCTAGAAGAGCATTACCTCTGGTTGGCCCATGCACTTCCTGAGTCAGAAAAAGCTCTTTGTTGCAGGTCAGGAAGTAACATGACTGATTTGACTTGACCGAGTGTTCCTTCCAAGAGATGTCTGGATAATTGAAGTTGCCCATGATGACCATGTCCTGTGCACGTGCAGTCTCTGTTAGTTCTCGGGCAGACTCTAGATCAAGTTCCTCACCCTGGTTTGGTGGTCTGTAGTATACACCTACAGTTAGATCTTTTAATATACACCTACAGTTAGATCATATTTCATAGAAGGTGTCTCAATTGCAATAAGAAGAGATTGAGAATGAAAATACTCTCATCATAGGGATATTTGCTCAGGGATGGCACAAAAGATGTCAGTTTTCTGTTTATAGCAGCCTTCAATGATGTAGGCTTCACAAATGTAGCCAAGTCACTTTTTACACTTTTATTTGGGTTTATATCAACAACACGGATAAAATACTTTGGTCAAACACAAGAAGAACAAGTTGCAATGTCGTTCTTTCCTGGCTGCAATAAACATAGTAACATGGGAAAATGCTGGTTTTCATGAAACACGGGATGTATATCTTGGATTGGCACACAGAACTAATAAATACACTATTTGTACTTATTTAAAAACAGAATAGCACATGCAAGATGTAACCAGGCTACTGAACACCTTCACCATTGTCCCTGTACTATTTTTACACTTGGTTCTTTGCTATTTTCTAAGCAAGAAAAAAAGAATATAATGTGCTCTGCTTCTCAGTGTTGTAGCGGCTACAGCCTATCAATTTGTGAGCTGTTTGGAACATGTAGCTTTAGTCCTCGTTAGCAGAACTCTTATCTCCTCTAAAGCTTTCATAGACATCTTATGCATTGTAAACTGCAGTGGGCATTCCCTTGGATGAAGCAAATGTTCTGCTCTAAAGCTGATGAGGAATTAGTACTGAGCAAAGATATAGTATAGGGACTGTTGTGAATGCAGTTCTTACAATATCAAGAGTCAATACTACTACCACACAAAATGACATATCAATAATATATTGTACAAGCTTATACAGCAACACATGTTGATTTGCAACACTGTACAGTTTAAATCTAAAGTGCACAGCCTCAATCTGAGGTGACAAAACAGTACTATCAATATAATAAAGGCAACACAATTACAGACACAATTTATTTCCTCCTCTTATTTCACGTTGTTATGACATTATATTAAATCAATACCCCATTTATATATGCTTTAGATGAAGTTAAACCATGCTTCCCTTATTTTCTTCAAGTATTTTAAAGACAGCAAAATAATATTGCATTATAAACAAAAGTAGTCATTTAGATTTCAGTCATAGCTAAACCCAAAACTTCAATAAGGTTATAAATGGACAGCTCTGTCCCATGAAATACTGATCTAAACCTTTTCAAATGTCAAGAGGAAGGAAGTTGAATTTCAGTTTCCCCCTCAAAGACACCTGCATTGTTTATGTGGGATTTTGCACCAGTGATTTTTAAGTGGGCATAGTTAATTCTTCAAGAACTATGTTAGGAGAATTTAGAAATATCTCAAAGCATTTAGATATCAATTGCAGTAAGATGCCTTTTCAAATACTGGGGGTGATTAGAAAAAATGTTATGTGAGAGACTTAGGTTCTACCATTTGTCATCCTGTTTATACAAGCTTCTGATTTAGGGCCCTACCCTGAAATATCCTATAAATCTTACTTATCCTACATCCCAGTTGTCTTTACCCAGTTCACATTACCCTGTGAAACTGTACAGGCTCTGATTCTTAGAGTTCAGTCAGTTCTAGTTTTCAAATTTATTTTTGTCTCTATTGAATAAATTCTGGTTTATGAAATATGAAAGATGGTTCCAATACCTGTGTTTAGTCTACAGTAGCTGTGTCTACATGAAACACTTACTACGCAGTAGCGTCAGCAGGCACGAACCGTGATGTGACACTACTGCGCAATAGTACTGTGCAGGAGTAATGAGCTACTGTGCAGTAAGCATCACTAGGCAACTGTGGTAGCTGGGACGCTAATGTGCAGTAATGCTGGTTACTCTGCAGTCATTTAGTACTTGGTTATGCAAGTACTAAATGACCGCGCAGTAACAACTGTGCAGTGGGCATCTCATGTAGACACATCCAATGTGGCCCTTTTGCAGTAGATTGTTTTTTAAATAGAAGAAAGAAACCATCCAAAAATAATCTTAATTCGGTTTTGGTTAGCACTGCAAATTGAGTGTGCCTCTGTTTAGTTAGGCCATATAGGAAACATAATTAAGAATAATAGCATGTTATTATTGTACTGTAATTGATCTGATTAAGTGTTTTTAAGAGCTGGAGTACTCTTGAGGTTTTCAGTAATAAACCTGGGAGATGTACTATCCATGTAGCATGTAGAATGAGGCATCAGTATCTTTTAAGAATTTATGTGGGCTTATGTTTCAAAATAAGCATTGCTAACTATTTGATGTACTTTGATCAAAAAGAAAAAAAAATCTTATTTAGTTTTCAGTTTCTGCCCCTGAAGTTTTTATAACCCATATAAAATAAAAATCTATAGTTTACAAAATAGGCTTTTTTAATATATATATATATATATATATTCCTTTTGTAAAATTATACCTATTTAAATACATTTGAAATGTTGCTATAGGTAAATTAGAAATTCTGTTCTAATACTATGAAAAAGGCAAACTTTTCACTTTTAAACACACAGTTTGCGGACTTTATGCTTCTAACTGCCCCCCAAATTTGATTTTGTTGCTATTTAGGGGCAAATTTGGCATCATTCAATCTACTTTTAACCTAAAATAGTTATTTACTAATTGTATTAAAATTTGGGGAAAATATTTCAAGTCTCTTCTGTTATTCTTTATCTGTTTGAATGCAGCCTTTTTGTAGCTAATTATTGAAGAGGTATTCTAAAACTCAAGACAGGATTTTGAAAGGAGCCATGTTGCTTGATTTTAAACTGTACTTTACTCGGACACCACAATATAGAAATAGATTTACTTTGGAACAAACTACAAATACATTCGCACAGTTTGTGACAACTTAATTGTCTACCTAAATATTCTGGAACAGCCTTTCAAATCAGAATATTATAAATCTTGTCCCAGACGTTCTATTTCCTCAATCAGGAAATCAATGTCTTGATGACTTGCTGCTGGGTTTGAGATCACCATCCGAAAGAAGTTCACTTTGTCTCCCAGTGGCTGATAGCTCACCATTGTAGTTCCATATTCCATCATTCTGGCTTTTATCAGTGGAGCTACCTACAAAGACACGGCACAAAATCTGAGAAATATTTCCAATTCTACACCTTATTTGTTCTTTCTCTAAAAAGGGGGAAAGTAAAAACAAACAAACAAATACACAAAAATCATTAAAATATAACAAGCTCAATCGTGACTAAAATGAGAACAACTGAGTAAGGATCTCACCTAGTGGTAACATTAGATCTTGTTGTGCTCACGCAAAAATCAAAGAGAGATTTTTTTTTTCTTCTGACTTTAACCCTAATTCACCAATTTGATTATTAAGGCTGGTAGAAAAATCCCGTCAAAGATGTTTTTTGCTAGAAAGTTGGACTTTCAACTATTTCTTTTGAGAAAAGTGCTACCTTTTTGAGGAAAATTGTGATATTGTTGGATAAGCAAATGTGAAAGCTGAAAAGTTTGTGACTTTCAGCCAAAACATAAAACAGTTCAGTCACAATATGGTACCTTTCTGTTTAGATCTGTCTCAGGGGAGCTACAGTTTGATAACCCTCACGTTCCCACTGTCCCCTATGGACCAGACCCCAAATCAGATTTTATCTCATGAAGTATGGTGACCATGGGAATCCAAAGATACATCATCTCCTTCTCACCATATCCCCATAATGCATCAGAAGAGATATAATCAGCCAGGAAACACAGCCTATAAAAAGTATGAGGAATCTGAACTGCAGTCCTCTTAGGCATTGGGATTTTATGACATCATGAAGGCTGTCAAGACACCTTGCAAAAGTATAAACTGTTCTTTAGATTGAAAATAAATGGCTCACAGCTACACTAACCAGTTTGATAATACTTAGTATTGCTGACACAAATGCAATTAATACAAGTCAACTCTTCCAACATATCGGTATAATCACTTTCCCTCTTGTTTTCATGTGGCAGACCTCCAATTGCATAATCAAAATAAATCTGTGTTCAGATTGTTACATATTTTGGAATTATCTGTTGCAATTTATACCATCAATGACAAGGATGACCATAGTCTAAATAAGTATGATAAAGAATAGGTAAATACATGGGATATAGAATAGAGAAGACAGTATTCAAATCAACTGAATAACAGGAATATTTTGTAAGCCTAATTACCTTGAAAAACTGACATAACTAAAATGAACTTTTGAAGTGATGAATCTTTTCTTATTAATTTTAATGATTTTCTTGTTTATAAAAATGTAAGTAAGTACTCATCGCAGTGCTTCCCTGAGAACAAGATTATTGTATGGGCCACTTCCCATCATAGTCCCATTTTGGATCACGTAACATTTCAGCCTGTCTTATTTACCTTCATAAGACGGTTCATTCTTTCTTCATTGTCTTCCATGTCTCGTAGAGTGGGAGGTATGTACCAGAAGCAGACATTTGTGTGCTGGGGCTAAACACAAAATAATAATAGCCTACACTGTTAGAAAAACTCATAATATCTTAATTGCAATTAAATTCATGCCTTTGCCTTATTTCATACATCATCTTACAACAACAATCAATGGTTTTCATTATTGCAGAACACAGAGTCATCGTCATTATTAATATAGGAGGCATAATTTTAGGCAATATCTCAAAGATGTCAGATGCAGATATGCATCCCTCAGCTGTGCATATATATTTTTTTCCCTGTGGGCAGACATCTAGATTCTGTGTGTTGTCCCTTTTAGAGGATAAATGGAGTGTCAGGTTGATGCCTCCCCAGAAGCGGGTGTCTATTATATATCACCTAAACAATAGCATATTCTGTTCTGATTCATTTTTTCATACGAATGCATAATACATAATTCTAGTCCAGTAGACCAGGGTCAGAGGAGATAAATAAAGGGTGCAAGCTAGATTCCTTTGTACTCACTGAAATTCCTTGATGCTCAGTTAGACTTTCTGATGATGCAGTTAAGCTTCCTTTCTAATGTGTGAGGACAATGGAGTTTTACAGGGTCTAACTTAAATATTTTGCATCCAGAAGAAGAGAAGTACAAAACAAGGAGCAGCCTTCTCTGACTCTCACTTTTTTACATTTAACTGATTCCTACTCCTTGCTTTTCTTGTCTTGCTACGTTCCTCTTTGCTGCCTACTAAATGTGTTGGATACACCAATTTCAATGCCTTTATCTCATTTAACACAACCAAAATTAGTATTGATATTGGAGGTAAGGGGAATCAGTTATACATTAACAAGTGAGTATAAATCTAAAGTTCCAATTGAGGGAAGCATTTAAGCACATAGTTATAGTCACTACCTATTTGGCAAAACTCTTAACAGCATGCTAAATTTTAACCATCAGAGCAGGGAACAGGTTTGCAATATACTTAATAAGGACAAAAAAATTAACTGGTCTTAAGACAGCACTTTAAGTTTTCATTATATGGGATTTGACTCAGTGACCCAGCAGTTATCCTTCAGCCTTAGTCCTGCGTCAATAAGACTTAAGCACTCTGCAAGATAAGAGTGAACTGTTCAGCTGAGGCCCAAAAAAATAAGTCTAAGGAGGTTCTGCAAATGGCATTCCCCCCTCTGAGTTCCTTGCAGGTCATTACACAAGGGAATCTGAACTTGAGCAACACACCTACTGCAGGAGACAGCAGAGAGTTTTACACTCTAAGCTTTTGGGGGTAAGGACTGTTTTTATGACATATTTATGTCATCTTACACAATAAGGCCCCAAGCTCCCTAGGAGCTGCTAAGCACTACTGCAATACAATAATAAACAGAAATGGGTAAGTGACATCAGGACAGCTTCCATCTAGCTTCATTTCTGAATGTGGCTCCTTCTGGAGATGTTGACAAAACATATCTCACAGTTATCAAGATTATTCTTTAGTCACATGGAGCATTGTAGTCTGTGTTAGAGAACAGTTATCTGTATTAGGAAATTGCAGACCCATTGTCCAATTAAACTCTGATGTTAAATCTTTTACTATTGTTTTAGCTTAAGGGCATGTCTTCATCACACTGGACCAAGCCAGGGAGCACCACCATGCATTGCCCACATGCCCTGAACTGTCAGTGAAAGCTGACCACTATCTTTCATCTGGGTAAGGATGAAATTTTCTACTCAGCAGTTCTCTACTCAGTTGCCTCCTTGACTTGCCCATAGACCCCATAGGTAATAATCTTCCATCATGTATGAGTTAATCAGATTGTCCTATCAGTCGCATCTCTACTTCAGACTATGGCCATGTACAGACATTCAGTTATTACTGGAAGAGTCACTGCTTTCCCAGTGGAAACTACAAGTGTATAGATGTTTGGGATTTTTCTATCAGAGCAAAAATGGCTACCTTGGGAGAAAAATATGAGGGGTGTGTGAAGCAGGCCGTATTCAATCTGGATTCAGATTCATCCCAAATCGGGGACAGTGATTTGATTAGTTGATTCAGGTTACTGTCCCCAGTTTGATTCGGCCAAGTCCAAATCTGAAGATTCGTTGCTGATTTGGAGAATCAACAATTTGGACACAGACACAGATTTAAATGTTTTTTCTACGTACCTTGAGGTACTAGTGCGGCTCATGAACGCTGTGATGCTGGGGCGGATGGAGTGTCCCACGGAAGCGTGTGTGGGATGGGGGGACCTCCCGTGCTCAGCAGCGAACCCAGAAGTGGACTGAAAGTACTTCTGGTCCACTTCCAGGTCTGTTGGGGAGTGTGCAGGGGGCCCACCTGTGCCCTTGCCTGGCTCAGTGATCAGCTGCAGGGGGACCCAGAGTGCCCCCCCAGATCCAGGAGGCACCAGTCACCAAGCTGGGGGGGCCCAGGAGGGCCCCCCCTGTGCACTCCCCAGCAGACCCAGAAGTTGACCGCAAGTGCTTCTGGTCCACTTCTGGGTCTCCTGCCGAGCGTGCTGGGGAGCCTCCCATGCTCCTGTGGGTTGCTGCATCTTCCCCAGCATCTCAGCATTCATGAGCTGCCTGGTACCTAGAGGTATGTAGAAAAAACATTTAAAGCTGTGTCTATGTCCATATCTCCAAATCTTTCTGAGTTTCTCTGAATTGATTTGGAGGGTTCCGATTCGATTCAGAGAAATTAAAGGGTCTCCTGATTTGAATTGGATTTGGAGATTCAGCTGCTGAATCAGGCCAAATTTCTGCCGAATTGATCAAGGACTGAAGCTTCACACAGTCCTAAAAAATACCTTGGGGAAAAACTAGGGTTATATTACTTCTGGAAGAATTTTTTCTGGGAGTGCGTATGTCTGTATACTTTACCTTCTGCGAGAAACTAAAGCACGGTCCTCCAGCTTCCCAGGAAACTTTGCTCCCAGCCCTGCTCTTTTTCCAGGGAGCCAGTGTGTTGCTCAGGCTGGAGTCTACTGCTCCAGCTGAGCAGGGAGCATGACATACCCCCTTCATAATCCCATATTGTGCTGCACGGAGACTTTCACAGACATTTGGGCTGGAAGGGACCCCGGAGGATCATTGAGTCCAGCCCCCTACCCCAGGGGCAGGAAGTCAGCTGGGGTCATAGGATCCCAGCAAGATAAACATCCAACTGTGTCTTGAAGGCATTTAAAGTGGACTCTCTCAGATCGTTTGAATGGATGTAGCCAGCCTATGTTTATTTGGTATAAACCACGTGTTTAAAGTGACAGCAAGTCAGAACACGTACCTTTCCATCAAACACCATTTCATAACCTTCTCTGTTCTTTATTTTATTATATAGATATTCTGCAAGTTCCAAGCACTTGTCAACCTGTGCTTCAAATCCTATAGTTCCCTGCATTAAAAAGGAAGAAAAGAAAAAACATGAAGCTTATGTCTGTCTATATTTTAATTGATACTGTGAAAGGAATATATAGCATTTTGAAAAGCAGTGGTACAGATTACTTTTTCTTGTAAAATTCTGGTTCCAAGATGCTGAGATTGCTGTGAACAACCAACCCTAGCTGGTTCTAGATGATTCCTTTTGGAGTCAGAACTTTCAATAAGTTATCCAAAAGAAGTAATTGAGCAATATCAGTCTTGTTTCTGGTGGAACATGATGATATCTCTCACTAGTAGCCAGCTTTATTGGTAGTCTCTGCAGAGAGGTTAAGGACCTGATAGGTATGACTGGATAGGAAAGGAGCACAAATTTCTTCTTGGTCAGGGTTGAGTTACATGGTGGATAAACTTGCTCTCTAGCTTGTAGCTTGATGATTTAAGCCTACAGGAATGACATTTTTACAGAAAATCCAGGTTTAAAATTAAAAATATGCTTTTACAGATCAGTCCAATGCCTGGTGAAAAATGCATTTTCTGTTCCGTGCAGCAGTATCTCTATAGGATTTTCTCTCTTCTTTTCTATTTGATAAAGTATGGATTAGAGATCTTTGTTTTGCTCCAGCAGTCCTTTCTGGTTTTTCTCCAGCTAAAGTCATAATCTTTGTTTGTAACATCATAATCACTTCTTCAGTCACCAGCTGTGATGCCACAAATAAAGACTTATGCTGAATAAGCAGCTGGAAAGGATAAATTGGATAAAAAGAGAAACATTGGTTCTATTTTTATATAAATGTTCCTTGTTAAATAGAAGTGGGGTGTGGGGACAGAAAAAGTAGTATAAGACATATGGTAACTGTAAAGCCTATAGGAAAAACAGTCTATAACAGCTGATCAGACTCTCAGCCCTACCAGTCTAATACTGTATGTACTGCTCTGGCAGTGTAAAACACATTGAAAACTCTTTTCAGTGGTCCTTTGTATAAAGGAATCTTGCAAAAGTATAAAGCCAGCATGGCTTTAGGTGAAGCGGGGTTGGCCAAAAGGAGGGTGGGACCAGGATTTCCTTGTGCTCTGGACACCCAACTACTCCAGCAGCTCATAGGGTGTTATTTTGGGTAGCAAAGCTCAATTGAAGCTTGAGTTTTCTTTTGAAATCTTGTGGCTAGACTGGTACCTAGTGACTTGAAGACCAGGATAACAAAAGATGGCTTGTATCTAACTTTGTAGTTTTCCACAGCTGCAGTATAGTTTGATGTTGGTACCAAAGATCTGTCCCAGAATGTTTTTCAGAACTTTAATAAGGTATATGAGGGTCTGTGGGTGTATCTACATGTACCTCTTATAAGTCAGATTAGCCTAAACTCATCATTTTTAAGGAGCATTAGGGGCACGTGTCCACAGGTGTGCACCCTTAATGCAGCTTAAAAATGGTGATTTTAGGTTAATCATGCCTAAATTTGATACTTGCATAAAGCAAGTATCAAATTTAGGCACGAATAACTAAGTTGCATTAGCCCATGTGTAGACACTTAATGCACATTAATGCAGCTGCATGTGGGCTAATGTAACTTAGCTATTTGTGCCTAAATTTAATGCACCTTAATGAGCATTAGCATGTCCACGTGTAGACGTGCACCTAAATCTCCTCAACGTGCCTTAAGCAAAGGTGCATTACGTTTAGGCGCATGTAAACACACGTGTAGATACACCCTGTATGTCCTTTTTTGGAGGGGAACAATCAACTGCACTGAATAAATCTAAGTTTGATACAATAACATAAATTCATACACTAAAATATTTATTTGGCAACATTTTAAAAACAAGGACACATTAATTCATGAGAGTCAGTGCTTTTAGATTTCTCAGAGCCATGAATGCAAAAGAGCAGATTTTAATTAGTTTCCCCATATTAGCAAAATAATTCTGCTATAATTACTGCATGAAATGGAACCAGGTGTTCTAGTCCTTGATTTGCCATGTTTAATTTTAGAACATCATTAATGAAAGATCTTTGCATTCCCAGAAACTTTCTGGCCTCATTATACTTAAACAAAATATTTATACTATCAGGTTGTTAAAGTTAGACATGGCAAATGCTGTGCTTTATCACTGAGTCTGAGTTTCATAATCATTTACGGTCCTTTGTAGCTAAAATGGATAAAGGTGAAGTACAAGGAAAAATATCAATAATAATAAAAAGAATATCTTATTATTGTTCTTTCTTTCATCTACTATGTGGGAAGTTCAGATAAAAACCATTACTAAAATGTTGATATAGAAAGTAGAGCGGTGTCTGGTGTTCACTGCTTTGATTCAAATGCATTAGATATTTGCTTACCTTTGCTCTCCACATCAGCCATAGCTTGAAGACATCAACATGACGTCCACACTGTAAAGCCTTGTCTCCAGTGTCATAGGACAAATCATAGTGTTTATCTTGTTGAAAGAGGTAGGAAGCATGCATTTGATTGCAGCTCTGCATCAATCCCTTAAAGAAGCAGAGATGTGATTTAGGAAAGCTGGTATGTGCATAAGTTTACTACTTAGCTTTCTTTCTTGATCAGTTTTTTTTCTCTCCCTTACTTAACCTGTCCAAGTGACCTTGGAAGGCATTCCTTCGCTTAAGGCAGGTTGGCCAAGTCAGTTGCAATGACTATTGCAAATAATGCCATACTACTCCTTGAGTCTGTATCCAGAATGCTCTTTCCTGTGCTTTCTCTCTGGTTGCAGGTAATTCCAATGAAGATGGTCTATATAAGGCCCTTGCTCCCCTTAAGCTATAAATCAGGGGATTATAGGAGCTATATGTGGTGTGGAAGACTTGAGTAGACTAGGATAAGTATTGAGTTAAACAAGGAGTTAAGTGCTGCTTCTGAAGATGAGTGGTTCTAGTCTGACCCTGTGAGAGGTGGAAAAATAAAGTTTTGAAAGGCAACCTTATAATGTGCATATCCTTTGGATGAGGGCTAGTGGTTGGCTAAGGCAAGGGCAGCTGTATCAGGAAAAGCATGAAGCTAACAATGTTTTAATTTTCCTTTTTATATTTATGCATGATGAAAATTGAACCAAATCATGGCTCTATTGAAGTCTTTATAAAGATCATCCTTAGACTGCTTCATAACATTGCATTTTGCAGTCAACAAGGAGAGAGAATTTGGCCTTTTATTTTTTGGATTTACCTGTATATGTAGCTCAAAAAAAATCTGATTAAAGAAATGAAGGCAAAACAATTGGCTCCACTCTATTTTGTGACATATCTGCTCTCACTGTAGGCTGGGCTGATACTAACTTCACTGAGATAGGACTTGTCTCACAGAACTGACCACAGAGCAAATAGATCTGAGCTCTGCTCTTTCTGTTTTAAGTGCAGTCACTTTGTGTACAATCTGTTGTATAGCTGTTAGCAATGCAGCATCCAGCTTTTTCATAACTGGTCTAATAAGTAGTAGTTGGCTAGCATCTGGCCCTGGAGCTGGTGCTTACAGGAAGATTACAGGCTCAAAGGGTAAATCTTCCAGGTTTAGCTATTCCAGTATTAAATAGAATGCATATATTTTATCACACATGAACCTGTACTTTCTTTTTGGTCTCACCCTATTCTCATGCCTGTGCATGTGTTCTCTCTCTCTCTCTCTCTTTCTTTCTCTCTCTCTCAACCCCACCCCCACCCCCACCCATGTATGGTTGTAATATTTAAGCATATGTATTTGAAAGAGCCATAACTCTTGGTTGTTTAGACACTGAACATAGTATTATGTATACAGTTCATAACTGTAAATGGGCCACATTGTGCCTTCAATTATGTCTATACTCTGCACAGAAATGAATGGTGGTTGTATGACTGACTGAGTGCATGTCTTAGCGCCATATATATCTAATACAAAACCACAACTTCCCTATAAATTATCTCCATTAATTAGATCCATCTTTTCTACTATGCAGTCATTTTAACTACTTTATATATTCCTAGGCTGAACAAGTGACTAAAAGCTTTATCTCAGTTTCATGTTAACATACACCAGCTATGAGAGTTATAAAGCAAGTATCCAGAATATTCAGGAGAAAAATGCAAAAGATGCAAGAGGAAGACGTACCTCTTCTCTAACTAACAGGGCGGAACACTGCAACGGGACGCCCATCATCTTGTGTGGATTCCATGTCACAGAATTGGCCCTACAACAATGAATAACTTTAAACTGAGAATTATACACAAGGGGGAGATCAGTAAGATGGTAATAAATGAAAATAACAAGACTTATATAGGGCTCTACTTTTCCTCAAGAACCAAAGTTGCAAATAAGACCAGCAGTTTTTAGAAGTGTGAAATGTTCAGAAAGGGCCCATCATTGCCATTTAACATAGATGTAAATTTACTCATCCATGCTTCTTTCCTGAATAAATGTTGTTGTATAGTTAGGACTAAAAGATCCTGGATGAGTTGCCTGGATATTTAATTTAGAATAAGTTTGCCATTCTCTAGACTTTGCAAGTTCTACATTTCTAGGGAGTCATCTATACTTTCGAATAATAGTCACTATTGCAGATGACTTTTAGGACCATTTTTTTCAAAGGTATTTTAGATATTTAAAGATACAGATAGGTGTCCAGTGGGATTTTCCAAACTACCTAACAGATGTGGTACTCCATTCCCATTGATTTCAGTGAGAGCTGAGCATTTAATTCACTTAGTCACTTTTATCTGCATCTTCAGATATGTAAGGGGCATGATAGCACTGCTCTTGAACATTCCCTGCCCACCCACTCCTGCTGACATGCTCCAAACTCCAAAATATGCCAACAAGGCCATTCTGGGGCTTCCCTCTGAGTCCACTCTTGAAACCTCAGTCTTTGGTGTGCTTGAAAGCAGCCACTGGAGATGTCCATGGAGCAGCCTCACCAACATATTATCAAGCTTGCAGCCAGGAATTGGGAGCAGATGGGAGTCAGGTTCAGAGATGTCCAGCCAGAGCACGCAGCCTCCTTGGTTTAGATATACCATATGAACCTTTGAAATTCTGGCCTTTGCCACATTTCAAAAGAGGTTTAGGCTCCTCAGTCACTCAGGTGCTCTTGAGAATTTTCACCACAAAGGCCAGAAGGTCAGCTGACATAAATCGTCAGTGCTCCGCTGGCTTCAAACGAACTATGAAAATGAACTCAATTTGAGGATCTGCCCTAAAATGGCTGTGGCAATGAATTTTGGATTATCTCACACAACTCTTTTACCCTCATTCCGCTCTCTTT